TAGGAATATTTGGGACCCAAAAGACTGGTACGAAAATTGAGATTAAATTTTCAGCCATGAGGAATAGCTCAAATATCATGCTTGGCGTTATTTTAGTAGATAAATCCAAAGGCTAGGCTGTCTTGTAACATGTCGGGGATACAAGTCTAAAGCACATGTTGAGTAGACAAACAATTTCCAAGAACTGATCATATTCAAAGCTTCTAATGATGAAGCATGTAAAAGCCTTGACCAAAACTTCTTGAAACAATTAAATGTTGCGAGTAAAAACAAAAACAAAAAAAGGGCTTGAAGTACCTGGCAAGCGAAAAGAAAGTATTTATTGGAGTACAACCAGCGGATGATGATTGTCCCTTGCGGCAACGGCCGCTTGATGATGTAGCTGAAGAAAGAAATAAACTCGTTCAAGAGTTTGTGACCTAGACACGTCTATTTATGGGGGAAAGTTTGATGTGGATCCGAGCCAAAAAGAAAGTCCTCTTCCATACGAATTTGGAAGAAAGTTGATTCCCTGTTGGAATGACTTTATTGATCCGAAATCGATTTGTCAAAGGTCTCATGGACTACTTAGTAATAGCCGGCTAAGTAGTTTGATATGGCGAAGAATTCCAATTTGGCTTGGAATTGAGCAATCATAGCTGATGTAGGAAAAGACTTGTGGGCCACGAGAGACTCATATTGGAAATTGAAGTCATTGGCCTTGGAATATAGCCACGAGAGAATCATAGCTACTTCATTGGACTTGTAATATAGCCATGGTATAGATATTGCATGGAAAGGTTTTGGTCTTGGAAATTTAAACCATTGGCCCCACCAAGCTATGCATACATTTAATGTGTGGCAGTGATGAATTGGGAAGTCCTTAGCATGGCCATCCTATATCCATTCGAAAGCCACGGTCAGGTGATTTGTAAAACTTCAAGTTTTAGTCCATTTTCTTTAGAATTCCAATGGCATTCAGATCCAATTGAAGGAAAAAAAAATATCGAAACTTGTCCGTTCAAATCTTGCTTCGGTCTTCAGCAATCACGAACAAGTTTCGAGGGGGCATTTGTAGACAATAGAATTTTAATTAAATTCTAAAAATTACCATTGGTCTATAAATTATTTTTATAGCTTATTTTTATCCAATTGGATATTGCCATATGTCATGTACACTAGGAAAAATTGGTTATTAAATGGCCAACTATATTTCGCCACGTGTCAAGTTGAGGTGTTCCAAATCAATTCAAATTGCAAGGATATCTCTACCAACCAAATCATATCATGTCACATGTCTATATGACTTGGCAGAATTTTGGATAGATACCTAAATACTTATTTCTTATTAAAGAGATAATATTTAGAGTTGTTTAATCCATATATATTTCTTATATACTGCAATAGCTTGTCCAGACAACGACGCCACGTCACGTGTCCCCACGAGTTTGGTCAATCGAGGAATTACTTATCTCTTTATTAATAAATATAAAATGAAGAGATAATATTTAACTGGCACAGTCCTAATATGACTACACGTCTTGCAAGACAAGTAGAGTGGTATACATGTTTTAACCTCTACCTCATACTACAACTATAAATAAGAGTCTCTCTACCAGGTCAGGGGACACACCAAGAGGCATCTCATACGCACAAGTATTGAAGCTCCAAGCTACGAAGGTCTGGGTCTTCAAGCTCTTCAAGTCTTCCATATATCAAGGCTTGAGCCTTCAAATATTTTCAAGTTCTTCAAATCTTCCATATCAAGATTTGAAGGAGTCGGTGGTTGATCCAAGAACAAGCTGCGAAACCCTTGGATTGGCATTCGAGGAGAAGAATCGAAGGAAGCTCTCTATAAGTTCGAGAAAATCCCAGAGATTGTACCCACATATTTTTCTAAATTTATATATTACATATTTGTCATGTATTTCTTTTTTCTTGTCGTTTTGCAGACTTGAAATTTTAATTTCTTTTTTCTTGTCGTTTTGCAGACTTGAAATTTTAATTGCGTACACTACTTAATCATGTACTTTCCTGGCAACTGGCAAGTAAATGAAACTTGGTGCAGTTTCCTCTGCCATTATATGTTCAATCCTAATATAAACAAATTAAAGTGTAATCGCTTAATACCCCCGCTTCATCATCCCTTTTATCTGTAGTGTGATCTAGATCATCCTCATCCTCTTTATTTTCATCATCCTTCTCTGTTTCTTCTTCTTCTTTTTCAAGTTCAACAATTCTGGAGAATATACGAGCATATTCATCATTTAATTTCCAGTTCTGGTAGTTTCAGCCTTTGATGAACTGGGAAAATCAGCTTTTGTTTCACATGAAAATATTCAAGGATTAACAAAAATTTGTCGACGTTATAATGCCAGTTGCAATCTGTGTTTTCAAACTCGGACCGGACCAGCCGGTCCGACCGGTTGAACCGGGAACCGGCCAAATGTTCGGTCCGAGTTGGTCATCAGAACCGGGAGATTCAAAACCCGGTCAACTCCGGGTTTGACCGGTACAGAACCGGAAAAACCGGTCCAACAGGAGATTTAGTAAAAAAGGTTCAAACTTTTTTAATATTATGTTTTGACCCCCTAAATTGTGAAAACTTATTAATATACCTCAAATATTTCATACTTTATAAATATTGTCCTAAAATTTGATGTTATTTTTCAATTAAATCCATAATTTTAATTCTAAACTTGTTAATGTTTATTAAATAATATAAATTGTTACTTGATTGTTCTAATTTCTTTGTATTTTCTTGTTAAATATATTTGAAACATCAAATATATATAAATATACCTTTATTAATATCAATATGTTATTGGATATTTTATATACAATAATTTAATTTTTAAATAATTTTTATTTATGACGTCATTCGGTTCGACCCCTATCGACCCCCGGTCGAACCCATTGACCCCTGACCCCTGACCTCAGCCGAGTCGATATCCGGTCCGATTCTGAAAACATAGGTTGCAATACAATTTTTGTTTACCAAAAGTTAACTAACTTAAAAGACGGCAAAAACTTTTCATGAATGGGAAACGCTTTGGGATGAAAACTAATTATGAAGGTTAAAATAGCGACAACATTCAAAAGAAGGAAAGGCAAATCTACACGGTTCTATAGCAGAATTGGCATTGAAAATGCTGCTAATCAGCATCTGTACCAAAGCTCCTAAAAGTAATTTGGACCTGGGACCTCATTCCGTTAAACTGGTATGATGATGAAGAAATTATCCATCACTCCCTCCATGACATTTTATATGGTTTGCTATGGCCAAAATCTCACAACTTTTTCTAAACAATGTCTGACCAAACAAAATATTGAAACATTGACCAGATCACCCTGCAATTTGACTAGACAAAGGAAATTAGTTTTTTCAAGACAAAATTAATCTTTTGATATGAATAACTGGCATCTAATTAAGCTTTTCTGTTCTCCATGAAAAGATGATTATTCGCTGTCATCCAAGAAGCTTGCTTATTCATACATGGAGTCTCTTAATGTCTCGTGTCTATAATTTGTATGATGAAATAGATCAGCCATGGTCTACAAAAGTTGTTCTTCCTGAGCAACAAACATGTCTACAAAACACTTGAGATCTTCACAGATTTTATCCAAGCTTTGGCACTCTCATGTCTAGAACTTTTAAAAACTTTAATTAAAAAAGAAAAATCTAGACCAAACATCCTTTGAACATGTTTTCAACAATTAGAATCATGAGAGAAACAAATTAAAATTTTTCAGAACTATTACATTTGAAAGAAACATTAAACTCGCTACCAAGCTCAAAGCAGACTATAATCTTTATTGACAAGCTAAAAAGAAGAAGACCTGCCTGCTTTAGATACGTCAGCCATAGGATTTTCCTTCACATAGTCTTCAACTATTTCTACAAGATCATCCTGTCACATGAGCTGTGGTGATATCATTTGGCAAAAATTGATGGTTAGTAGAATTATGTCTGTAATTTATTTTCTTTTTTATTTGGTATCAATACCCATTTTCCACGAACTACTTGTCTAACAATAAGACTTTTCTCTCACCTGGCAAACAAATTTGTTGTCATCCTAAACTAGTCGTGTAAAGGTCCACTTCTGCTCCTTATCCGGAAATAATAAATCCATCATTAATGTAATTAATAAATTCCAATTAATAAGAGTTGAAACATAATATTGCATTTGGCTCCAGTACAAAACATCACATTTGGGGTTTATCCACATCTTTCCCAAAAAAAAGGGAAAATGAAGGAATGGTACTTTTGCAATTTCCACGAGTCAATAGGGTAAATCTGTAGGGTACATTTACTTCTTCTAATGCACATTTAGAAGTCTTCGTTGATTATCTTAAAAAAAAAAATGAAGAAGGCTTTGTTTTGAAGTATTATTTTAAATAATTATTTGAAATAATTACTGTAACACTTTTTGTGATATGATAGATGTGAGATAAAAAAATGAATTAAAAAAAAATGTGTTTATCATGCATGCAAAATTTTTTTTTGAAAAAATTTGATATCCAAACACAGCCATAAACCATTATTAACTTTGTAGTATTGTACTATAAAGAACTTATATATAAAGTGGGAATGAGTGGTGAAATTTGATGGTCTTTCGTCCTCCATGTGTAAATCACGTGCAAATGCTTTCTTTCATTTTGCTCTTCTTTCTTTCTGACATTTTCTTACGAAAGTAAGAATTTTTGGCAAATAAACCTAACTCCCCACAGTAACTTCAAAAGCCGGTAACTTGTGGAGTCCTGTGAGGGACTTATAAACCTAAACCCCAACCCCCCCCCATTATCGATGTGGGATAGAAAACCCCACAGGGGTGCCCCGCTGCTAAGAGATAAAGACCCCCCAAGCCCTCTGAGAATGAGTTTTCTTTCTGACATTTTCATTTTGCTCTTCTACTATTTTCTTTTGTCCCTTTTCGTCTCGTTTGGTGTGTTTTTTTTTTGTTCCTTTCCAAGCAACCCACTTTTCCAACTTTTTTGAGGGGCTCGGTGGCTCAGATAACTATTAGCAGATCACCGTCACAAGCTTTCTCCCACTCTCCACTTTCCCCTCTCCATTTCTTCTTCATTACCGCCTCCATTACTCCCTTTCTTCCTCTGTTTTCACTTTCTTTCTTTTTCATCACCCTGATCATCATCATTCAGAAATAAAAAATTACACCCAACCAACTCCACTTCTCCATTTTTTCCTTCTTTGAAAGCCTACCTTTTCGTTTCTTCTTTCTTCCTTTACCCACCGGACCAAAAGGTCCAAAACAGAAAAATGCAGATGATTCCTTTGTCTCACATTTTTCTCCTCACTTCCCAATTAATGGCCGATCCCTGCCAAACTCTCTCTTCGTCGTCCAAAAACAAGAAAGGGGGAACAAGGATGAAGGGGGAGGATGTTTGATTCATCTCAACCATCTGCATCATTTTGACCAAATATAATCGTGGTAAACTTTTACCCCTTTTGCCTATGTTTAATGTACCTTTTTTCGATTTGTTTTAGTAATTTTTTCCTTTCTTCTTATGCTTTGGTCTTTCTAACCACAGAGCATGAACCTTCATTCCTTTGCTAAGATGTGGTATAATCTGACATAGGTACCTGTCATATCTATATCTACTAGAAATTTTACCCTAAAAAAATAATTTCGTTGACTGATTTTGTTTTTTTTTTATGGGTTCTGTTGGATTTTTTCCCAGAAATATGTGTTTAGTTATTGTATTTATTGAAATTTAAGCTTTGAATGCCTTCATTTCTTATTTTATTGTGTATGTTTTATCTTTTTTTTCCCCCTTCTACTTTCCCCTTGGCTTAGAGCATGTCCAACCATTAATGAAAAATTTTAGTAAGTCTGAAAGAAAAAAAGAAAAAAAGTAGAGAGTTTCTTCTCTTGTGAGTTTTCTGCTACTTTTAATATTCATATTCATATTCAATGGTGAAAATCAAGGTGAACAAATAATTTTATTGTTGGTAGGTAAAGGAGAAAGGAAAAAGTTCTGTTAATTTTTGTTTTCCTTCCATATATCAAAAGGTAAGCTTTTTATGCCCTAATTACTTAATCTATTTCAATGTGTTTTGTACGTCTTTTTTTCCTAATATCGTCTTGGTTTGTAGCACCATTACTAAGAAATTTCAGATAATATCTTCTTACATGAATTTCTATAAACTTTAATGGTGGAATTCAAGTTTAAACGGTACTACTTTACCTTTTAACGAATATTTTTCTTTCAGTTAGGATAACAAAGATGCAAATGTCTCACTATTGCAGCCCCTATTTTCTTGGTACTCTTTTTTCTCTTTTTTTCCTTTTAGATTTATTATTAGTTTGTTTTTCCAGTGTTGTAGGAGCATATTTGATAATTTTCTTATGGATCACTAACATTCCTCAGGGATGAATGGTAAGTTTTTATGGAATTGTAAAGTAATTCTTATACATTACTGTTGAAGAAAATAGTTAGCTTATTTTTAAAATTAGAGGGATTTTTGGTGAAGAATTTCATGTTGTGCTTTTTAGGCTGTTTATTTTGGCTTTTGTGCAATGTAGCAGAAAGATATAGAACTTGATCTTGTTGGGAATTTTCCATATTAAGTTATTCTTGAAGTATTCTACACTTTTTTGCAGGGATGAAAATAAGAAGCAAATGAAGTTGAAAAGGAGGCATCGAAGGTGAAATTTTCCCTTTTTTTCAATGTTGTGCCCAATTTCCATTTTTGCCCTTTCTCAGCTATTCATGAAATTCATTTTTTTTCTACTAACAGCTACACTGAGATGAAAAGGGGCAATAATTGCCAAGAAAATCTGTATGTGGATTTTTCCTTTCTTCGTATGTCAATTTCTTTGTAGCTCAGTTTTTGTTCTTTTGACTTTATCTGGTAGTTATTATTCAAATTTTCTTTCTTTTTTTTTCGAGGTTTTTTGGTTGTACAATCGCTAGCCTCATGATAATGGCAAGTATTCGAAAGAATTAATGTCTTCTAATTTTTTTTCTTCTTTTCTTTTTTTCCTTCACTACTCAAAAAACCATTTTCTAGAGCTTTTCTTTTTCCTTTTTTGGAATGGGGTCTTGTCATATCATGCCTGATGGAATATATCTCTCTTTTTGCTTTTTGTTAAAATTTAGTTTTACTCTGTTCAAATTCCTGGTTAATTTGCTCGGTTAATGTTTTACTTCTTTGATGTTTAATGTTTTATGTGGGTGGAAATTTAGGAATATGATATTTACATAATTGGTCATCTCCATAGTGCTTAAAGTCCCATGTGTTTTAATGATTACTAAGGTCCCAAGACTTTGATAATTTTTCCTCTCTCTCTCTCTGGTTTATTTTTTGGGTGGTATTAGTATTTGAGTTTTGCTTTGGATTGTAGAATGTCACTTATTGTTTAGTGCTGAAACTAATTGCATGCATGATCTTAGTTTCTTTGCTTAGTGATGTGCCTGCTGAATATGCAGTTTTCAATCTGTGTTTGGGATTTGTAAGTTACAAGCTTGCTTAAATAGGTTTAATAGCTCTATTCTGCTCATAGGTCATTGGAATTGTAAGTGTTAAGAGTACTTTGGCATGAGGCAATTGGTGCATGCATGACTACTTTTCTATTTCAATTCTGTTGAATGTGCAAATGGCCTTTTCGAATTAGTTGTGACTTGTAAGTTAAGAAGCTAGATTCAAGTACAGAGTCCAGTTATTGCTCGACAGAAAAGCTATGTTCAGAGTATTACCTCAATAATTTTTACTTGCCATCTAAAGATTGTTTGATTATTGTTAAGAATTTGTTGTCTGTTTTTCTACCATCAATGTTGTTAAAAGAATTTTGAGAGTGGCCACTAGATTGTTGACTTCTTCAAGACTAATAGTTAAGCTGGTATCTGTTTGTCTATGTTAGGATTTTTTACTGCACTGTTTACTGATTTTGGGATTGGATAGGTTATTGAAATCTGTTGAGTAATAGTTAGACTCATTATTTTTTGTCCATGGTAGAATTTGTGCTGCATTCTCATCCTATGCTTACTTGTCCAATTAAGATGAAAATGATGAAGAGGAATAGTCATAATTGGCTCTTGAAATTGATTCATTATGTGTTCCTTTGGAATTCATTGTCTTTCTTTGTTAGGTTTATCTAGCAACCTCAGATTTTATGTGCAAGTTTTGCTTTCTCTTCATTTATTACATTCTGATATTACTGGTGAAGTTTTAGTTATTGTGTTGATGTTATCTTTTTTCTTATGGACTAACATTTTTCTTTTTATCTTTCAGGAAGGTGAAACTATCCGAATTAATGTGAAGAACAAACCTTCTAGTGGAACAGGCATGCTTTCAGCTGCAGGATTGTTAAGTGGACATCCTGGAACTGTAAAGGCCAAAACTCTAAGCATAGCACCACCCCCCAGTGGAGGAGTGAGGATTCAGTCTCCTCTCCGACCCCCTCCCAATGATTCAGCAGCTGCTAGGATGACTTTGGGAAGGCATAATACTACTCTTAAGGGGCCTAAGGAAGTTGGTAGACATTCTGCTGATCCACTGGCAAATCTGTCACAACTGGAGGTTCCCATTCTCCTTTCTGTTATGTTTTTGGAACTTTATTTATCCTTCTATGCAATTTGAACAGCAGAATTTTGTATACCAAGAGACTTTGTTATTAGAGGTAGATAGAGCACTTAATTGTAGCAGACTACAATCAAGAAAATTGAGACCTGCCAACTTTCAGAAACTCCGATCAAGAAGGATCATTGATCATCACGTGATTGGAATAAAGGACTTATCTGAGTCGATTTAAAGGACAATTCTTCTTGTGTTCCAGGATGGGGTTGGTAGTTTAAACTTGAGGCTTTCAAAAATTTCTGCTTTGTCCAGCTTTTTGTATGAGGTGTTCAACCTTTTTATTTAACCTTCATTTAGGTCCATGAATTGGCTGGTCATATAAAACATTATTACTAAGTTATCTTAACTGGATAATTTCAGTTATCAAAAAGCATTTTGCCCACTGTTAGTTTTCTTGTAATATTCTCTGATCTGCAGTGTAGATATAGTACTTAGGTGTAGCTCTCCAAATTAAGAATTTTAGTGATACAACTGGTATTACCTGATCTTGTGATTTTGGGGAAGTGGAGGTAAGGTAGGGTCATCCTTTTCAGGTGGTCATGTAACTGACTTCTTTGCATAATGTTTTGATAGGGAATATAATTCATATTTAGAAACATTTGGAAGCAAAATCTATAACAAAAATTTCTAGCAACCTTTTGTAAATTACCTTTACTTCAGTGGCATTTAGAAAGACAAACTTATCTCGCTTGATAGAGATTCATAAATATAGGAATCATCAATATCTTGCTTGATAAATATGAATCTTTCTCATTGGTGCTACCTTTTTATGTCATGTATGTAGACATAAAATATTAGCTGCTGTTTTACCAAATATCTTTTATCTGGAATTGTTCTGACTTTACATGGATGTGCTATTCTCTCTCCAACCTGTGTAAATGGGCTTGGTCGTTTTAAATGGTTTATGTAGAGATACAATACTTGTATCTCGTAGTCAGCTTGTGGTCTACTTGTGATGAAATTTAATAGCGGTTTTGTTGTTGGCATTCTGCAGAAGAATCCTCCTACAACCACTGGAACAGGTTCTAAGAAGTCCACTGGACCACTGCAGCTGGATGGGCTGCTTTTTTATCATGTTAGCATTTGACTGTTGGTGGTTCGGATCTTTGTCTCCTGTTGTATTTAACAAGATGAGAAAAATTGAAAAGAAAATTCATAACTGAAGGAATTTCAATATGTACTCCATCTTTGGAGGAATAATTATTCTCGAAATGTGTTGATATCGTTCTTTTGACATACTTGGACTGCTGATCTCAAATTTATATATGTATAACACAAGATAATTCTCTTTCCTGGGTTTCTGCCCCAATGTTTGTTTTTCTCCAAGTCGTGATCGAGGGGTTGAATTGCTTTTATAGGATTGCAGTTCTTTCCCAAAGAACACACCTTTGGGGGTAGTGGGTAAGGCTTAGTATAGTTTTGTGTGGAAGGGCCTCTAAGGACGGGATGGATTAGTATACATGTTGTATGTACAGATTTGTCCAAACATGAATGGCACGTAATTTATGAATGTTTTAATGCTTTGGATGTGTTTGGATTGACATTATTTGTAAGCAAGTATTTATTTGTATCACAATTTATTTTATAATCGGTTTATAAATTTTTTCAATCATCTTTTCTATTTTATGTATATCATATCATAAAAAATTATTCTTACAAATAATATTTCCAATATTATTCTAACTAATATTTTAAAATAATTTCCTATCTAAACAGAATTACTATTTTTACATGTTAGAGCTTTTTTTTTTTTAAACGAAAGAGCATCTTCCATGCAAAGAAGGTTAATGGAGTTTGGTGGGCGAGTACACCTTTCCCTTCTCTAATTAGACTGTGTTGAGGTGAAAAAGAGTTTAACTTGGACATGTGGCATTCTAGGATTGTAATTGTTTAGTTCAGGCATTATTTACAAGTTGTGAATGTCATACTAAACTGGAGTATAATTTGACTTTGTATTATCAATTTCACGTAGGAAAGAAAGCTTGTATTGGCAGATGTAATGTCAAGAAAGTACATCTGATCTTGCCCGTGCCAGTTCATACTTTATTTTTTATTTTTTTGGCCACTTGATACGTTTTGGTATATATACAGAGACTTACAACCACTTTTCCTGCTTCAAAAATCCCATCGGTTGAGACACTATCTCCTATAGTCATGCTAGTAAGCATAATTCTGACGTTTTAGAGCGAAATCAAAACTATATGCTTTTTGGGACAAACAAAATGTTAATGTATATGGCAATCAATTAAACAAATATGCATCCGCCAAAATATGTTTCCATCAAATTTTTTTTCATCTATTACATTTTATAAAAGAAAAATAAATCTACATGTCTTTTTCCTCATTGAATTTACTAACTTCCTTCTCATTCATAGCACAAACTATACACATACATTTCAATATCTTTCCTTATGCAGCTACTTCACCTATTCATTTTTTATTAATAATGTCTTAATTTCATTCATTAAACAAAATAACAAATACAACCATACATTACATGCAAATCAGCTCATACTGGGCATCACTTTAATTTCTCACCGTGCGCAAGCACGGTGTCATCTTGATAGTTCTACTCGAAGAACGAGAGAAACCTTTACCCTGGGCTACATACCAGGTTTTGACCCTCATCGCTCTCTATACAAGTTATAGAAAAATTGAAATCATAGAAATCGAAAAGGAAAATGCCAGTATGAAAAGACTCCATCTTTGGCCTAAAAATCCTATCTTGCTTTTCTCCCTTCTCCACTTCTTCATCATCATCATTATCTTAAGCTTCAGGTCCCAAAAGGGTCTCAGGTGGACTCTTGGTGTTGAAGGCGCAAAAGCTGGTGAGAAAGTGAAGATTTGGGGGGGTTCCTAGGATTTATGGAAGTCAAAATTGTGGGAAATTGAAGAAAAAGATGAAGAAGAAGAGGATGATGCAGATGGGTTGTTTTTGCAGGGCTTAAGGGTCTCCTTGAAAGTGCTCAAAGACATGGAAAATTGGAGATTGAGATCAAAATCTTGAATGTTTCTGCAACAATTTTGGTTAAAATTCTGGAGTTTTTTTTTTTTGTTTCTGTTTTGAATGTTTCTGTTTTTGTGAAAACTTTCAAATGTTTCTGGGGTGTTTTCAAAATATATAACTTGTTTCCGGTAACTGACAAACCGCCTGGCGCCTATTTTGGAGTTTGGAATTTTAATTTCTTTTCTTTTTATTTTTTCTTAAAACTGAGAGATTTTAGAGTCTTCTGTTTTGGGCTCCCTCAATTTCCTGAGGAAAAAAAAATGAAAAGGTTTCTGAAGAAATTGATTTTCTGATTGGACTACATAGATTTTGTGTCCCTTATAATTCGATTCGCTATAAACAAACCGTGCTTTTAACAAACCGATTCACTAAGGATTTGATTCAAATTTGATTTTTAATGTATTCAAGTTCTAATTCGAGTAAGAATTAGAATTCATTTATAGTATTGAGTAAGAATTAGGATTCATTTATAGTATCGAATAGAATTCGAACTTGTAGATATTCGACTCATTAAGGCTTAATTCGATTAGAATAATTTTTAATATGTTATATTCAAAATATTTGTTAATATTTTATATGAAATTATATATTTATTATTTTATTATATAGAATGTATTAGCCATGATTTAATATTAAATATTGAAGAATTAAATAAATTTTCGAGCTCTCGATCGAATTTGAACCCACCAAATATTAAATCTTAATTAAACGGTAAAAAACTCAATTCGATTCGATTATACCCCTGTACAAAGAGTATTGATTTTCATCTTGGAGGGAAGTATAGGAAGACTTGGAAGGTGCTTTGGAGCATAAGAACTTTAATCTTTGGGTCCAAAATTCTATTACTCCCCTAAAAATCAAAACAACCACTTCCAATGATATGAAAAAATAAAAAATAAAAAAAATTGCCAATCATACATGTTTGCAAATTTTATGGAAATTTTCAAAGTAATAGACTACATAGATCATCCTAGACAATTCCTAAGATTTTAACTTTTAAGTGGCTGAGAAGCAGAAAGATATTTTGCTACTTTTCTCTTGGGTTGAATGAACGCTGGTTAATGTGGTGAGGAATGATACCATAGCATCTTTGAAATCTAACTCCGTAAGGGGATATCATATGTTCATATATGTTAAATATCCCAATTTGTAAATTCATCCAAGATTTGATCGACTCTTAAACTAATTACTATCCTAATAAAATTCAAGATAAGATTCAAAAACAATATCTTGTTCCTATTTTACCGGAAGTAAGAGTCCTGGTCCTTGTAGAATTTGAAAACCGGTTTAAAACATAGATAAATATAACTAAAACCCTCAAACGCCGAAGCTACTCAATAACCTTATTTCTCTTCGTTAAGTTCTCTCTTTCCTTATTCTTCTCAAAAACTAATCAACTATGGAGTGTGATCAAGAGACCCCAGTTGACGATTTTTGTCATGCATGGGAAGGTAGCTACTTAGACATCCCTCGAGTTGAATTGAAACCTTACGATCAATTCTACATTCAATTCAAAATTGAGTTCACATATGTGATGGCAATGGAGGAAGAAGAACAAGAGGAAGACGATAAGCCTGATTATCTATCTGGTAACCTGCAAAGCATAAATTTTTGTCATCAATTTTGGGAACGTTGTGAAAAATTATCATGTAACAACTTGACTTGGGACACCATCCATAGGATGCTATCAAGATTAGGAGTTCCAACACATAAACAACCTTTTATGATACAAAAAATCTCAGGATGTGCAGATGAAATTGCTAGCAAAGTCGAAAATAGAACACGAAAAGTGTTACCGATGATTGTCTCGATTGGAGTGGTTGTGGATAATACACGAGAAGAACATCTTTTGGCAATGAGAGAATCAAGGGAAGCTGAGTTGAGAATAAGCCCTGCGAGCAAAGAAGCAGTTGAAGCTTTAGAGAAAGTCAAGGTTGAAGATTGTGAAATTGGAGCTAGCCACTGTATGATATGTATGGAGAAACTTGAAGACGGTTGTGAAGCTACAAGAATGCCATGTTTGCATGTTTATCATGGGAGTTGCATAGTGAATTGGCTTGGAGTAAGTAATGTTTGTCCACTTTGTCGATATCAATTGCCCTACTAGGTCAGTTTATTAGTGAGGGTCAATTGGAAGGCATAGTCTAAATTTATTTGTGTTTTTGTCTATGTAAAAAGTCCAACTCATGTATATTTTGCTTTTTCCTTTTATTACCTTTTCTACTGTAAACCCTAACTTCCTGCCTATATATGTATAGTTTGGGACTATCTTTCTATTGTTCAGGAGTAATGGAAGGTAATAAAAAAACTAATATCTTTTCGAGTGTTCATCTTTGTAATTATTATAACAAAACTTATGGCCTAATCCGATAATTGATTACAATCATATTCTATCATAGTTGCGTTGCAAACCTAACCCAAAAAGAACCTGTGAAGGGTGGTCACTCTAGTTTGGACAATAACATCATACTATGATATTTGAAATTCTAATTCCTTTATTCTTACAACCTAAGGGCTATTCCTTTTTTTTTTTTTTTTGAAACTTGCTTTTCCTATTATTTGCTCATATTCTTCAGACACGTTTCATGTTGGCTAAGGTAAAACTATTTGAGGTTCCAGCAATGATCAAGAAATTATATTGTGGACTTTAATTTGAATCATTTTGTCATTTTTGCTTGTGCTTCTAAGACAGTAATATGGGCCACGAAATTGAAATTAATCCTCAAAATATGTAAAGTGGGCCATCACACCACTTGGACTCTGAAAAGGTGAAGTACAATTAAAAGTCCAGCTTTGGTTCTAATTTATTTCTCTATCTTTCTTGGAAAAACATTCAAAAATTGGTTCAAAATCGAGCTTTGCTTTGAATTACCTATGACCGTTAAATCTCTCAGATTATGCCAAATGTAATCACTTGCCAAAAATTGCTTACTCATAGTAATGCCAAATTTTGCATTGAAGACTCACACATATTTTATTTTCATCACATAATTGATAATACAACGGTAATCTCATTCAAGTTGATAATAAATACCCCACTTTTCTCATTTCTTGCTCCCTAAATTCATCCTAAAATTTCTCAGTTTTTCTCTCCAGTCTTCAGTCTTTAGCCATCTTTCTCTCTCTCTTTTTTGGCTAGTGCAAAATACTCGTTTCCATTGCCAACTTGATCATATTCCATAGATCACTACTAAAAGAAACTTAGATATTTCTCAAATTTCCAATAAATCTATCCCTCTAAAACTTATGGAATTTGGTCAACGAATAGCCTTCACCATTTTCTTGGTGACTTTTCTAGGATTTTTTCTCTCCATATCTCAATCTTACACCTTCTATGTTGGTGGCAGGGATGGTTGGTTCTTAAAACCCAAAGAAGATTACAATCAGTGGGCTGGAAGAAATCGATTTCAGATTAATGACACCCTCAGTATTAAAACCCTTTTTGCTTGTTCATGATTAATCATTGGCCATCTACATATTCTGCATGCAAAATCTTTTGGTTTTTCATCAAAAATTTTAGCCCTTTAATAATGTTTTCTTTTTTCTTGCAGTTTTTAGATACAAGAAAGGCTATGATGATGTTCTGGAAGTAGATAAAGATGATTACTACAACTGTAACAAGGAAAACCCCTTTTTAGCTCTCAAAGATGGGGAATCAGTGTTCAAGTTTAACAGGTCCGGTCCATTCTTTTTCATTAGTGGTTATGCAGATAATTGCCAGAAGGGTCAGAGGCTTATCATTGTCGTTTTGCATCCAAGAGGTAATCCTACCAATGCTCCATCACCAGTTGCGGCCAATCCTCCCTCTCCTTCTCCTTCTCATTCTCCCTCTTGATAAGTGACTAATTTACGTAATAATTGTATGACATTTTATATTATTTTTAGTCACTTTGGTTATATTATTGGAAGAATATGAATCATTTTGGTTATAATTGGTGAAAAATGCTTTTAAGTGATTAAATGAGGTTTTTATCACTTTTTACTTGGATTTTGTGTATTTTGACAGTTTTGACACATTTTCGTATTTCGGCTATAACTTGAGCTACAATGATCAGATTAAGATGATTCTTGAACCAATTTGAAGATAAGATATAGATCTACAACTTTGGTGAAGACATCTAAATCCAGTTTGAAGGTTTTCCAGGTCAAAATGCCGAATTACAATAGCAAATTTCTACTGGTCGAAACTGGAACAGGGCAATGAGCAGGTAAGGGTATTTCAGTCATTTCTCAGCCTACACAGATCCAAATGAGGTGATTCTTGATGCATTGGAAAGCTAACTCAAAGGGCTACAAGTTTTATGTTTTGGTCAAGAGCTAAATCAGCTTTTATCATCAAGAAAAGATCGGTTGAAGTTGGACCAAAAACAGAGCAAGTGATCCACACTCGGATCCACTATTCATCCGAACCCTCGGTTGTTTCTGGGTTAGTGGATCCGAGGTACTGTAGCAGCTCGGATCACAGGTCAGAAAAGGCTGCTCTGTACGCGTAAAACTCAATTTCACCTCCACCAACTCACATTGGATGCTATACATGTGAGAAACATTCCCAGCTGTAAAAGGGAGATGTAATCCTCATTTTTTGACCACCTTTCATCATTAAATAGCAAAATGCATTGCAAAAATAGGAGATGGGGAGTTCATAGAGAAATATAGAGAGACATACGGGAGAAGCTGGAAGCTGCAGAAATGTAGCTCTTTCATCTCTCTAGTGTTAGTTTAGCTTAGTATAGAGTAGTGTAGCTTTCCATTCTTGTTTATTATCTAGATTAGGATGAAGATGGAGGATGAAGAAGGCAAGGAAGAAAGCTCATGTGACAAGGGTTGTATTCCTTCCAAACTCTTTATCTTTTGTATTTGATTCCAAATTTAGTTAATATACAAGTTCTGGATTTTGTGTTCAATATGTGTTTCTAAAGTTTATACCTTGGGTTTGGTTGAACTTTCTATAATTGTTAGTGTTTATTATTTGGTTATTTGACTGCTATGATTTGAGCAAGTTATTTAGCACTTCAGCTCTTGAAATCATGATTAATCTGGTACCATTAATTGTGATTATCTAAGGTGTTGTTTCTGCAATGAAAATTGAGATTTAACACTAGTTCAAGAAGTGCTAAACATAGGGAGTACACTCACGAAAGTAGAGGTGCACTTATGTGGTTTTTAGTGATTCATTTCATGTAATTTCATTGAAGAAATGAACTTGTAGCTAATTTCATAACCATGAAAATAGGTATGGATTAGTTATGAGTATAGTTGATTCACTACGAAAGTAGGATTCAAATGCATAAGGAAATTACACCATAATTAGCCTAAATGTAGTAATTAATGATCCAAATATAGCACTTGCATGAGTAGTTAGGGATACCACAACCTAAGGAGCTTTTATTTGCTATTTTGTATAATTTGAGTAGGTAAAATTTGTTATAATTCATTGATAGTCTAAATAATAGAGAAGCTTTAGTAGTACCGGTAATTGCAATTTTCCTTGTGGGATCGACCCTTAATACCCTATACTCGCTCACGATTCGTATACTTGCGATAAATCGCGTGTGGGGTGTTTAGGAGTTTATAAATGTAAAACTTGATTAGAATGAGGCAAAATTGATATGTATACCCTGCGCCCGTCAAGTTTTTGGCGCCGTTGCCGGGGAAGATTTGGCAATATCGGTGTGAAGAGTAACTTTATTAGTTTAGACATTTTATTAGTTATTGTGTGAATGTTATTTTCTGTCATTTTAGAATTTTTTATGTGTATGTGTTTTATCACCTATTCTTCTTACTAATTTTGCTCTTAAGTTGTTTAAAAGCAATTTTAGGTAATGAGAAGGGTAGGTCAATTTGGAGGACAATGCTTGAGAAATGGAAGATTGGTAATGGATGGTTACCAAGTGCAAAGCTCCTTTAATAGAGGTAACCAAGAATTTACTGAATGTATGTCTTTTGAAGATGGTTTAAGGTGCTTAAAGGCAAAATTTGATGTAATTAAGTTACAAGTTCAAATGGACACCATGATGCATGAAATTGAGCAGAGAAGGAATGTTAATGCTTTTAATTCTTATCATGTGATTTGTGACTTGTGTGGAGGTTATCATGCTACTAATACATGTATGCAAGCACAAAATGTGGATTATTATGATGAATTAGAGCATTACAATCCTTGTTTTGATCAATATAGTGCTAATTGGAGTAATTCTCCTGCTTATGGTTGGAATAATCAATGTACTTATAGTGATAATTCATATTTTTATGATCACCAACCTGAAAGTGTCCAATATGAATCAAAACCATCTTGGGAGTTGGCAATAGAGAAGTTAGCTAATACACATCTACCTTGGGAGTTAGAAAGTGAACCATTAGCTAATGATTCTAATGCATCTTGGGAGCTAGCTGTAGAAAATTTTTCTAATCAATTTGATTTAGCAATAGAAAAGCTAGCAAATGCAACTTCCGATCGTTTTGATAGGATTGAGGAAAGAATAGATGAATTAGCTTCTCACTTTGGTCGAATACATGAGCAATTGAATGCATTGTGTGAAGTTATTTCCTCTAATAATGTGCAAAATGATCCTAGCATGAATGATGGGAATGTTGTATGTGAAAATGGGTTGCATTTTGATGAAAATGATGAATCTCAATTGTGTTTCAATGAGCAAATGTCCATTTCACATGATAATATCTTTGGAACTAACTTTGAGCCTCAAGAGGTGAGTTTTAATGACTCATTTTTCACCCCTCTTGAGGAGTGCATTGAAAGTATAGGTTCTAAAGGTATTCCTGCCCAAGATACTCTCATGACATTTCCTTTGGTAAGTTCTCAAGTGGTGCATATTCAAGGTAATATCTATGGAACACTTGGAATATGTAAGTCACTTCCATCTCTCAGATCATTAGTTCATGTGGCTTTTTCTATTAAGTCACCTTACAATGATCCACCAAGGCCTAAAATGGTGGATTATTCGTTAACTAAGCCTCCTTGAAAAATGAGGTGATATAGTCAAGCTATTGACTTTAAAGAAGCGCTTATTGGGAGGCAACCCAATGCTTGTTTAAGTTGGTGTTACTTTGGAGTGATTTTATGTTTAAAGTATAAGTTTGAGTTATTTTGTTATTTTTCATTTGTAGGTTTTGGAAAAAGATGCAAAAGTGACCAAATGAGGTGAAAAAGGCGAAGTTTGATCAAAGATCTCAATACCACAAATTCAGTAATTGTGAATTTTGATGCATTAAAGAGGTTTAGAATGCATGTTTAGATCATTTTACATGTGCGTGAATGATTTATTTTGACATAGAAATGATCTAGGGTGTATTTTGAAGAATTGAGGTCAAACTGAAAATTGCAAAAATTCTGCAATAAGTGCAGATTCAATGGATCCAAGGCCTCGGATCCATATGGATCCAAGGCCTCGGATCCACTTCTGCAATCAGAGAAAAACTTCGAGCTTCTTGATCCGAGCTCGGATCCATATGGATCCAAGGCCTCGGATCCACTTCTGCAATCAGAGAAAAATTTCGAACTTCTTGATCCGAGCTCGGATCCATATGGATACGAGGCCTCGGATCCACTTCTGCAATCAGAAAAAATTTGAGCTTCTTGATCCGAGCTCACTTATCATGATCCGACCTCGGATCCTTTCAAAAACGACCTCGGATCCTTTCCAAACGAAGCCTCGGACCACTTTTCTTCATTCTTCCCTCTTTTTCCTCCTTCAACTCCACTTTTCTTCTTGTTGGTTGCAAGCTTTTATTCTTAAGAATTGTATTTTTGTTTTTTTTTCAAGGTGCAATAAGTGAACTCTCCATTCTTTCTCAAATACGGTTGGAAATTCGTCACTTGGCCATGGATTCTGATTACGCAAGTTCAATTGAGCAGTATTTTCTTTTACTCTTTATTTATTTTCCTTTTCTCACATTGAGGACAATGTGAAGTTTAAGTGTGGGGGAGGAAATTATTGAACTTGCATTTTAAGCCTATGTGATGATATTTTGTGGATTTAAATGCTTAGAAATGTTGGAATTGTGTTTGAAATGTTTGCCATGTGGATAATTTGCTTGAAATTGGGTTTGTTGGCAGGGAGTTTTCATCCATTTATAAGGAGAAACTCTGTGAAATTTTTTCTAAAATCTTTTCCAATATTTCACTATGGCCCAAAAGTTCTTCAAATTTTGCATTTTCATTCAAAAAGGGCTAATTGATCCAACCTTATTCTTCCAATTGTTGAAATGTTATATGTATTTTGGAAGGTTTAGTCCTCATTTAACTTGGAAATAATATTATGCAATTAGAATATTTACATTTTAGAAAGTATATTTGGTAAAGTGAGGAAAATTATGCCTATAATTTTACATGTTTAATGAGATTTCTTCTCTTTACTTAATTTTGCAAGTAAGTGATTGATATAGTCGATAAAGGTTATATTCCTCCTTTGATTATTCTTATATATTTTCTAAGAGGGGTTATCTATTTATTGTCCTTTATTTCTGAAAAAGAAAAAAAAAGTAAAAAAAAAGAAAAAAAAAGAAAGTAAATAAAAATTGTTCTACTCCAATGATTCATGTACCGAGTAACCGGGGGTTGGCATCAACAAATGTCGACATTCGCGTAAAAAGGTACTTGAATTAAGAGTATGCATAGCAACTTGAATAAGTGAAATGTTGAGTAACCGGAGATCTTCACCTAAAAGTGTCGATTTTCGCGTAAAAAGGCATTCTCACTATTTAAGTAAAATTTGTGTGAATAAATCCCTCTTAGTTATAGAATTTTGAGAAAAAGATGATTATAGGAGGAGGAAAGCTATAAATTGACTATGTGATTTGCTTATTTGTAAAATTAAG